CAAAAGCGATCCTGCCTTATAGGGCTGGAGAGACCTTTGGTAGCCCTTCCAAAACTGGAAATCAAACCTAGATTCATCATAGGCACTCCACACTGCTAGTTCTATGCCATGGGACTGATGTGTTTTATTTGTGAATACATAATTTCCTGAGTAGATAATTTATTGCTGAGGTTAGACTAAATGCCTGTAATGATCCTTTTCAGCCTTGAAATCTCTGTGTTTGTGACTTTCACCTCTCATTGGCCTTTAAGTTTTCCATCATTTTTGTTTATTTTTGCAGATACCAGTATGAAAACTGATTTTAGTCAGACAAATCTAGACTCCTGGATATGTTGTTTGTCTAGCTATTTTTGTATTTTCTTTTTTTAGATGATCACATGTGAAAAGACAGGCACATAAATTCTGCAAAAGTATAAAATGAGTAGTATGACAGCCTATGGGATGGACTTTAGAACCAGCCTTTTAAAGTATTAAAAGTTACTTTAAGAGTATGTGCGTTTGAGGACAGCTGGTAAGAAAAGCTGAAGAAGCAAAATTCTGTCTCTTTCTCTTTCTTTTAAATTCTTTTTCTTTTTAATACTTTTACAGTTCCTGGGCAATCGTTGCAGTTGGATTGCTGGTTCTGGTTTTTATTGCTCTGTTGGCTCGTGTTCTTGTCAAAAGAAAACCACCAAAAGACCCGCTGTTTTACGGTATGTCGTCATAACAGCGAAGCTAAATTCAGAAAGTGTTTTTTAATATAAATTATAATATATGACAGTTATTTCAGGCATGGTTTCCCAACCCAGTCTGCTGAGATGCTAAGGAGCCAAGAAAGACTGGAAAAAAACGAGGAGAAATCATGCTTCTTGTGAACCTTTGTCCCCAGCTTAGGGACAAGCCAGACCTCCTGTATGAAAAGAATAACAATAACACTCGAGTTGGGCTGTGAAAGTGTTTGAAATACGGACATACCTGCTCAGATAAGATCCTCCTTGTAGCAGCACTTAGGCACCACAGTAGACCTGTCAGGCATATCTCTTCCTGAGTGGACTCATTTAGGATTTTTGGATCTTTTGGATCCATGGCCTCCATGGCTTGGTTCTTCCTATGATTGAATTACATAATTCTCCTACTTTTATTAGGCTTCTGTGTTAACTCACCTTTGTGATATATAAGAAAGTTCAAACCACCCCAACTCTTGGCTCAGGCTGTCTGCAGACTTGGGCAAACATTTCTATATTGGTACTTGGCCACAAAAGAAGAGAGATATTGATTACCTTTTGAAAGGAAACCTTACATCTAGATTATCCTATAGCAAAAATCTAGAAGAAAAAACACTGCCCTTTCCTGAAATTTTACAAGATGGGCGATAGGCAAAGCGGCGTACAAACCAATTGTATTTGTTCTGTGTCTTCCTCCTCATCACAACTCATAGGCATCTGTCCCCAGTGTTCTGTGTGAGGCCAGTAACTCTCAGTTCACACTGAAGTCAAAGGAAATAAATAACATAAACCTAGCACAGATACATTTCCTGTCTCAAAGGAGTGACTCGCTAACTTGCCAGATAGGCCTCCTATGGAGTGCTGTGGCTAATGCAGTTTGCTTGCTCACCTCCAAAAATGGCAAGTCACATTTCCCTCTCCTCCTCCTTTTTGTTCTTTCTTCTTTCCAAGAGATGATTACAGTCAAGGTTGTCTACTTCGTGTGACCAAGATTTTTGGAAGGCTACATGCAGATGCTGATTTTCCATGTAGGCTGTGCCTACAGCCCTACAGAATTTCACATTCCTAAGAAAAGCTTCCAAAAAAATTTGATGAATAACCACTAATTAAAAAGCATTAAGCTATGTGAGAAAATCATATTGTATGCTAAATATCTGTGACCTCAAAGTAGATGCATCTAGTTCAGCAGATCTCTGCCTAACTGAATTTACTGGACTGTGAAGTAACCGTGTGATTCCAAGTCTTTCATTAATTTATTATTTTTTTTCCTTTATATTATTACAGTTTATGCTGTATTTGCCTTTACCAGTGTAGTGAATCTGATAATTGGACTGGAACAAGATGGAATTATTGATGGATTCATGACTCATTACTTGAGAGAGGTAAACAATTGTTTGGCTTACAAATCTAAACAAAATCTTTACTATAAATAGCTTATGACAGTATTTTTCACAGAAAAAACAGCCACTAACACATTGAAAAGAGTCACCTTGAATTTGGTCCTTGACCTATTTCATTATTGTTATGGACAAAACCTTCCTCACTTGAATTCACTGATTAATTTGGAAAAAATAGCATACCTTTCAAGCTCCAACATTGTTTCATTTAGTTGAAGTAACACTGTTCTGTATTAGCTTCTGTGGGAACTGAATAGACTGTACACGTTTGCAGGAAGCCATAGATACTCAGCGCTGAGGAGTGGATGAGTATTGCAGTACTTCCATGTGTCACCAAGAAGGAAACAAAATTGCTCCTTTATTTTTGCCTCATCACTCTACTAAAAGGAATTAAAGTAGAGTTAAAAAATGATGATGCCAGATACCTAGTCAGCAGAATCTGTTGGCTGCTGAATACCAACATCCACCAAAAATAGCTCAGTAAGAGCTTGATATGAAAGTCACTGAAGTCACTGAAAAATTTCCATGAACTTTAGCATGAAATAAGTTGGATCTTACAAGGTTATACTTTGTCATCAACATATTCAATACTGTTGTAGAGCTCTAGGCTGGCTAAATATATCTTTATTTGTTCCATGTTAAATATATCTTTATTTTGTAGCTTCTATGATTAAAATATGGAAAAGTAGTATTTCCGTAATACAGCAGAACAATGCTGACAGTCATACATAGGAGTTTTCTCTTTCATCTTGCACTCTATTGTGCATCTGTAACTGATTTAATTATACCTGATCCTACCTGAATCAAGTTTGTGCTTGGAAATGTGTATTGTCAAAAACTGTATCCCTGGAGTGGAAGAACAGTTACTTTTCTGAAATGGTTTCCTGCTATTCTTTACTAATAAATTGTTATTCTGCTTTTAATCACTGTATCTTTTTTAAAACAAACGTTCCCTAGGGTGAGCCATATCTGAACACTGCGTATGGCCATGTGATCTGCTATTGGGATGGCTCCGTTCATTATCTGATGTATCTGTTGATGGTGGCAGCTATTGCATGGGAGTAAGTCATTTTGATTTATTACCGTTTACTTTGCTTGCACTCTCATATAACCTACAAAGGGCTTTCTTTTCTCTGCAGTACTTAGATTTTTCTGTCAGGACTGTTTCATGTCTTAGGCCAAAGCAACACTATTAAAATTTTGTTACTTTCAGGAACTGAAACCTCACCAAGTTACACTATCTCTCAGCAAAATAAGACCAGCAAATCCACTGAGTTGTAGTCTTCCTCCTTCACTCTGCAGCAGAGAGCATAGCTCTGCTTTGTGTTAGTTAAAAGGAAAGCTTAAAGAAGATGCACATGAAAACCATGTGTGTAGAACCTTTTGTTAAAATAATAACATATTTGTGATAGGAATAATGTATTGCTTAGCATGATGATGTTCTCTCATCCATTTTAGAGAGCACCATGGAGTTTAAGAGAAAATGGTTATTTCTAGAGGTTCTTATGTTTCTTGCTGTTGAATGAAGATCTTGAGAAAAGAAGTACTTAAATTCCAGAGGCTAATGTACCCACTTGTAATAGAAGCACTGCCAGACTGAAATTAATTATTAATAATTATTTGATAGCTTGTACGACCTGTGATGTACAAAATCAAGCAGTCAGCCTTCAGATGAGTGAAACATAACAGCAAATAACTAAGTATGCACAAATCCTGTACTGTTCATGTAATACCCTTCTCACATGAATGCAGGATTTCTCCATAACCCCCTCTCAGAGGCAAGAATCCTCTGTTGACTTGTGGGGCAGATTTTAAGACCTTTACTTACTAAGATACAACCATGCCGATCAGTATAATATTTGAGGGTGATTTGGAGTAGTGGATTTTTTGTGATGGCGCAATAATTATGACTTGTTTCCTTTCTTAAACAGACAAAGCTATAGAACCATTGGCCTCTACTGGCTAGGTTCCATCATCATGAGCATCATTGTCTTTATGCCTGGAAACATTGTGGGTAAGGACATAATTTATATGACTTTTTCCTGTGAAGCATTTTCTAAATTCAGCATTAGGCTATCTGTATTTTACTACAGTATTGGTTCCTTTCTGCAATAATACGAAAGAGGAATTTTAGGAATATCAGTAAAGAGATGCAAAGTAATTCAAAGTTTAAATATGAGGAGGGGAAGATGGAGACCAGGAAAAAACCCCAAACCTTTCAATTTTCATTGTTCTCAAGGAAAAAAAAATATTTTGTATTACCCATAAAGCATTCATCCAAACTAGGTTTAATTTAAGCAGGGAGACAATAATTGTCTTAGTATCATAAAAATATAAATCTTATTTTGCATAAAATTTACTTAATAGTCTGACTTTCAAGCAGTTTACAAGAGGCAGCCAAATCACCTTTAAAAGGGAAATCTGGAAGTTATTCTATTTTCAAACTAAATGTAACGTTTCTAGATTTCTAACATAAATCAATGCATAGCTGTGCTGCTAGAGGCTGAGCGTTGTAACAGAAGATTTTACATCATTATTACTTACAGGTGGTCCTTTAAGAGTACTACCTCCCTCAATTAAAGATTTCCTTTTTAGCAAAGCTTAAAATTGATGCAAAGTTGACAAGTGTTCAACTGAGAAAAATGTTCATGTGTCTAAATCCTGTAGACAGCTTTAGAAAAGTTCGCTACACTTTTTATGACAGAGGAAGAGTATTCATGGTGCAGCCTGGGGCCAGTCCAGTTCCCTCCTTTGTAGATGTACACGCACCACAGAGAAAATGGTCAGCAGATTTAATGTGACAATATCTCTTCTTCTTTCCTCTAGGGAAGGCTGAGAAATTTGTTCTCAAGAGCATGCCTTCTGCCTTCCTTTCTGACATAGAGAGTAGCCAGTGTAAAAGACACAGTTTTTCCTGATTTACCTGGGCTGAGGATAGCTCTCTGAATTTATGTTTTGTCCTCAAATATTAGCACAGGCCTGGAGGAGAAATCAGGACTTTGGAAAACAAATGCAATATCAGATCTTAAAAAATGTATACATTCCTTTTTTCCAATTTTTAAAGAATGATGTCTCCATCTGAAGTGCAGGTTTCATTAAGAGATTTCAAAGCTGTCCCATCCTATAGGATTACCTACTGTAGAGCGACAGAGGTGGTTTCCTGTCCCCGCAAAACCCCACGAATATCCAAAACGGCTTCCTGTCTGATAGGCTCTGTGTCACCTGTGACGCTGCCGCTATTGAGCACATGATTTTCAGCAAGATGTGTGTTGCTTTAACGGTGATTTCTAATGTTTTATGTTTACAGTACCATGGCTGCTGCAGGTTTGATATTACACAGGATATTTTTAAACTCTTCTGCAACACAGCTTATAAATTCTCATACTTCTTATAATTATTTTTTAACAGGCAAATATGGAACAAAAGTGTGTCCTGCTTTTTTCTTAAGTGTACCTTATATTTGCCTTCCCATATGGGCTGGGTTCCGAATTTATAACCAACCTTCGGTGACTCACGACACTCCAGTCAAGGTAATAGTTCTGTATTTAAAGTGTTGGCTACTGTTAGGAAAACTGAAATATGCTTGCTGTTTCTACTGCGTTTTATAGGTCCCTTGGTGAGTGTGGAATGTACTGTAACTGTTCACTGTTATGACAATTGCTGCTGGCTGTGGAGACACTGTAAAAATATCTACACTGCAGGACCATTTCATTATGGTGGGATAAAGAAAAAGCAAAAGAATATCATGTTTAGAGTAAAGAACTCATTTCTAGGTGTAATTCTCTATCTATTCAGTTTGTTTCAATTTCTTGGCTGATTAAAATATACCAGCTTCATAAAGCACTGCAAAATCCTTATAGAAGCTCTGCAGGAAAGTATTCTTCTGCAGATGACTTACAGATTTCATGTAATTTAATAATGTTTTGTATGTGCATTCTGCAATATTAGATTTTATAGGTAAGACATTCATTAATTGATATGAAAATTATTTACACACTTTTTACTTCTTATTAAAAAAATCTGTAAAAATAATGTTTACTTAAAACTCCTTAGACCTTTGCCTTTGAATTTAATAACTGGCCTGTAATAAGATTGAGCAATCAAAACATCCAATAATAGTTTATGCACTTTTTTTTTTTTAAATATCCCTGCAGTACAAAGCACAGAACAGATCTTTAACTCTTTGTTGCTATAAGCAAGCCAGTTTATTGCCACAGCACACCATATCAGTTGCAAGTAGCATAATCAGTTAATATTTTTGCATCACAAGAGCTCCTGAGTTTCAGTCAGGTTCATTCTGTAACTGCAACAGACACAGAGGAAGGAGTTAGTTCCTGTTCCATAGCTAGTAGGCAGGCAGTGTGCACGGGGCGTAGCCTATGGCACAGAATAACAGCAGATGATGCACTGACAGGTTTTCCCAGAAATGTATGAAAGATAGCATTCAGCCATGCATCCGTGATTCTTCAGTAGGAAAGAGGGGTGTAGACAGATGTTCAACCTCATGATGTTTGAAGAACTACTGCAGAATCAGCACTTTTAGGGCAAATCACTATGAAAAGCAAACTGAGGGCGACTTCAGGTGCCAAACCCTCTTCTACCCTCCTGTATAGGCTTACAGGAAACCACATGTCCCATCCCAAAGCAATTTGAGCTGATTTACTTAAAGGCATCAGTAATTCTGGCTAAACTTCCTTGCTCAGGAGGTCACAGAAAAAACCTGGGACCTCATACCCTTCCTAAGTAATTTCTTTTTTAGAAGTCATATTTTATCTTCACAGCTAATTTATGCTTCATAGCTGAGTATAAATACATAGGCTCAATAACTGTATACCTTAAAATGTCTTTAAATCTTAACACGACTACTCAGGAATTTTTCTTATTTTTATATCGACTCTCTCAGTCCTAAATTAGGTATTGTTTTCAGTAAATAATTGTGTAATGCTACTAATCAGTTAGCTAATCATTGTAAGTCCTGAAAATATTTATTTCTCTTTCAACAAATCATTTGCAATTAGCTGTAAAATTAAACTTTTTTTAGCTATCATTATTCAAAGTTGGTCTTAAAAATGCAGGAAGAAAATGTAATAATGCTTTTAAACATGATAGTGCAAGTATATAGGAAAAATACTTACATGAAAGCAATGGAAGCAAAGTATATTCTGTTGGCCAAGGTATTAATTGGTATATTATTATTATAAAGCAGTTAGTTAAAAAAAAATCACCATGGGGACAGAGAAGAGGTAATCAAGTTTTGGGTGTTTTCTAATAGAGGTGGGTGCATAGGAGGGAAGTGGATTTATGCCTTCATTTAGCGTCAAACCAACCTGTGCTGCAGAATTTACAAAACCCATCAGATTTATCTACAAGTATATCAGCTCAGAAAAGGTCTGTGTCATTTAAAATTCATTAAAAGAATTAATAGACATAAATTCAGATTTGCACATGAATTCTGAAGGGACTGACTTCTATGGACAGCACACAAGATTATCCCCGATTCCTTAAAACTGGTCATCTCAGAAGCCTCTCAGAAGCTATGGAAAATAGCTTTTTCCTGGAAGTGAGAGAAATTGCAAAGCGTGCCTACACACTTCCTTGCTACACAAAAGAAACAGCAGAGTTGGCGAGATCTGCGCAGAGTTCAGTGTTGGTTGCAATAAATGGGAAACCTGTGCCAGGTCAGCTCTACTCGGCCAGTGGACTTAACGTAATTCATTTTAGCATGTATTGAGGTGACTTCGCTACGTTAAAAAGAAGGGTAAGGCAAGATTACTGTGTAGCTGAGGGCTGGCGGCAAAGTGCATACCGTCTTTCAAATTCTTGCTTCTGCTTTTTTTTTTTAAGCTTTACATTTTCATTCTGTTTGCATAAATGTAGACATTGAGAAAAAAGGTGTGAGTTATCTGTACCTCGGCAATTTCACAAATTTGTACTGCACCAAAGGTTGTTTTCACTAATACTGGCTTTGTCTCCAAAACCTCTAAGTACTATTGTAGCTTTGTGATCCCAGTAAATATGCACATTTATTTAATATACCATTTGAAAGGATGAGGGATGCCTATATATATATATAAAAAAGATTCACACTTAGCCAAAAGTGGAAAGAAAATATATCAAGCCTCAAAGTTTCCATTATCCTTAGGTAGTCTACATCTGAAAATGACTTGCAACTCAGCAGCCCTGGGAGGCCTTTGTCTTTCATAGGAATAAATATTAGAATGTAGATATTCTTTGCAGGTAATGTTATAAACATTCCTACACTACTTTAAATACTGTAAAGTGGCACAGGCCTGGGTCATAATTACCATATTGCCAAAACAGACCTATTACTTGTGTTTGAAAAACAAAAAAAGCTGTCACTTTTTTCTTCTGAAAAAGATCCCTTAAAAGAAAAAACAAAATAGCCTTATTTTTGTTAAACTACAATTGGGATCTTGCAGTTTTTACTCAGGAATTGTGCTTGCAAGATTGGTTCTCCTGTTTCAATAACATTATTGTGAGTATCTTGGTCCCGAGTGCTTTTAACTCTGCCTCTACATCCTAATTATTGTTTTGTGTGCTTTGGAGACAATTCCACAAGTGTGTAACAGGAAGGAAATCAGGTTTTTCTTTTGCTGTCTGCATGCCAACACACAGCTAATAAAAAGGAAGAGGAAATGAGCAACACCTAAATGGGGAAGTTTTCCCTCTGAGCTGCAGAAAGATACTCTGATGTGCTTATGATCTTTTCTGTGACTACACAGTGCTGAAAGTCTACCTCAAATTATTTCCGTGGGTCTTGTAAGTTTTACTGTGTAGGCAAAGAGGTGACTTTGGTTCCTCCAAGCCATCTTCCACATTAGATATCTAGATGGCCTCTGCTACCGCAGTGTGAACCCCTCGCACCTGCCCACGTGGTGCAGCGGGAGGATTCCTGGTCTGAGGCTGAGGAAAGGAGGCACTGAGCAGATCAGATCCAGATGCAGAGAAGTGTTTCAGTGCCCATCAGAGGAATACGTAGCATACAGTAATAAAAGAATGAAAGGAGGATTTTGCACATGCTCCATATGCACGCACACACTTCATTCTCTCTTTTTGCATTACATATTAAGTATATTATTTGCTCACTGAACACAGCAGAAAACTCAACTGGCCCCATAAAGTTTTATTTTATGCCAGTGCTATTCCATTGATCTCAATAGTGCCCCAGGCTGCTGAAAAGCAGCATTCACTGTCAGTAATGAGATGGAGCATCATTCTGCTGTCCCTCCAAACAGTCCTTTGACAAAGTGCATTGGATTCAACTTCAAACATTTGAGACAAACCTACATTTCCAAAGCTTTTCTACATAGGGACATTCAGGGAAATTAATTCATTCTGATTAACAACAGACACAACTTTGAAGAAGTTAGTTATGCTGTTTTAAAGCCTTGTTAGAGTAGTGTTAATTTGATTTAGGTTGCTTTGAGAGTAAACTAATCTGTATTGAAATGTCTTTAGTTGGATCCATCCATTTTTAGAGTTTATTCAAACTGTTTCCTCACTGCGTCCTATGAAGTCTGAAGTCACCTTTTTAGATGTCAAATTTTTCTGTCCCTGACATCAGTGGATAAACAGGGTAATGTCACTGAGCACTAACTGCTTCTATCATAGTGTTTCACTGCTTCACCCTTCTTGTAGTGACTGATCCGGAGTTAAACACATGTCACGTGGAACCGGGATGTAGTTGTTATGTTCTGTGTTGCAGGTGGTTCAGGAAGTCCAGAAGAAAGGACTCTTAAGACGACCAATAGATTTAATGTTAGCTGCATACCTCATTCTAGCAACGGGGTTTTGCATATTTAGGGGCATGGTAAGTTGAAGATATTTTAATATTCTGGCATCTAATTTTCAGACAAACTTAAATTTGAAATAATTGTGTCTGTGTGAAAAAGTACGTATGTTTTGGTAAAGGGAGATCCTGTGACTCTCAGGGTTGGAATAGGCCTTAGGTATGTGTAAGATGCTGATTATTTATGATAACTAGTGGTGCTTTGCTTCTCCATTTTGTCCTGGGTAAAGTATTTTTTTCAAAAGGAGGTGCACAATCACAAGAGTAAACAGCATCCCAACTGCAGATCAGGATGACCTAAAACTGTTTTCATTGGTCTGGTGTTACATCTGTGGCCAAGAACACAGAGACAAACCAACTAAATTAAATCTGTATTCATGTTTTTCTAAACAGAGATGCATCGTTAAAATTATATAGGAAACCAAGTTAATTTACACTGCATGAGCTAGAGGAGAACATTTCCACCTGGGGAAAAAAAAAACAAAAAAAAAGATTTATCCATGTTACCTGAACAACACATGTTGTTTCTACTTACCAAGAGCTGATTTTTTTTTTTAATGTGTGCTTTTTAAGCATAACTGATTGAATTAAAATTGCTAAAGGAATGAATCTGTACTGGAAATGCTTAAAGTAGATAAACCCAGGAGTAGATAAATCTAGTTCTTTGTCAGCTCTACAGCACTTTCTGTCTTAAGCAGAAGGGAAGTTGTGTATCGTTCCGTGATCAGAGCTCAAATGTTTAGGTGTCTTAGACAACTGCCTGCTTGCTTAATCTGTAGATCTGATTCTGTCTAGAATAATTCAAGTAAGAGGTGATAAGTACCCAAGCAACATTTTATTTACCTAGCTCAGGTTGTCCTTCTGTAGTTCTGCTGCTCACATTACTTGTCATCTGCTGCTGTATCTCTAAAAACTGGCCTCTCAAAAATATTTTTTCCTCTAACTTGTCACAGACTGCTTTATTTCTTATAGATCAGACTATAACAGAGTGCCACTGCTACAGGTTAATCAGCTGTTGTACCTGTAATTTCGCTGTGGGAAACGTTAATCTCATGCTTTAACATCTAACTTGGATCTGCAATCCCACATTTTAATTTCGTAGAGGAGTATTTCTGTTGATTTTAAGAGAGTGGTCATTTCCTTACGTATTTCCTTTACCAAACAGAAACTGCTTACTGGCCTTAATTATACATATAGAGATCAACTGAACATCTCTGTGTAAGCTGCAGTAACCATGATTTTGTGAAAAAGCTAATAAAACAATCCATTGTAGTCCACTCAGACCTGCTTCTTGGGTGCCCATGTTGGAAAAGAACAGGGAGGAATATCCACTATTGGTAAATCTTTGCATTTCCTTCTCAAAGTCACACAACAAATACATGTCAAATTAAGTTGTACACAACTTACTGTTCTGTCCTGTAACTCAGGCATTAATGATGCCTCGCCATAAAACACTTCCACTGCCAGCTGCTGACACAGATTGCTAACACATTTTAGAATGGGATTTTTTTTTTGTACTAGTTTTATGTACTATGAAAAGGAGCTACTTTTGTGACTGGGTCTCTCTTCATGTTTATTGGGAAATTTGTTCTTGCTGTAGCAATGTAAAAACCAATAATCTCTCCTTTGCTACTCTCTTAAAAATTACTATTAAGTGACACCTGTCTCTGCATTGCTCTCCACTGCTACCTTGCCACAATGCAACTCTTTTCTTGCACGACGTTCATAGCTTGCTATCCTAAAATCGGGTGGTTAAGCTGAAGTTTGCACTGTTTGAGCAAATTTCCATTGGAAAGTTCATCTGCTGGGATCAAAGTCTGTTTATCAGAACAAATCAATAGCAATTATACTTTTACTACAGCATAGCCAACCGACTGAACTATCTTCCAGTTAAAACCCTTAAAGCAGGCTGTCAGCATTTCCTCGCAAACCCTCTGAGCAGGAGCTGAGAGGAGGCTGCATTTCAGCTTTTGAATTGGTGACCAAATGGATCCCCTTTGCAATAGACCTTGAGCGAGCCCCCAGGGTAGCAGTGCTGCAGGCCACTAGTGAATCTTTAGGGATGGTAACAGATGTCAGGTTAGCTCATTTTAGAACAAATTCTTTGTTCACGGGAAGTTTTAAAAATTCTTCTTAGATTGCTCTGG